GATGTTGCCTTAAGTCACAAGCATAATGAGCAAAGATGGTTAGCAGTTCAACCCAGGACGCAAGTTTCGCGCTTTATGGAGCTCATCAGCTGGATGTACCTTCGTCCCACATTTGATGTCCAGCTCGGGACTCGAACCCGATACCGTTCGCTTCAAACGCCACCACATTGTCTACTTGAACACTGAGTCCCAGCTGACGAATTCCAAATGGGACGAAACGCTCGTCTTAGATTCCACCGTTAGCCACCACCCGTCTTGCATACTTTGGCTTAGGTTATTAGTGGATATTGCTGTTTTCATGGCCTTTTACATATCATGCTAAGCTAACTTGGAATGGATATGGCATTAATGGTTGAATAAATGTTTATCTAGTTGATCTTGAAATATATTAATAACTTTTTCATGGTAAATTTGAACTCTAAGGGGCTTCTTGCTGTGGCTGTACTACGTCCAGTATGATGCTCATGCCTGAACTAGGGCAAGAACTGAGTCTAAACACGTGCTCTAAAATGAGAGAACCTCCCCATCAACGGCACGATGGCAATGTGATAAACTTGAGACATTTGTTGAGTCAATTTTAGAGGTCTCTTTGTCAGACAGTGTCTTTCCGTATACTTAAAGTTTATCTTTGCTAGAAATAAAAGGTTATCTGAGCAGAAATGCAGCAGCTGGTTGTCAACATCTGTCGACTGAGCTGAGAAACTGTGAAACCCACACAATTGTGTATTTCAGTTCGATTTATATTACCTAGTTGGCCATTAAAGTTGCTTGATTACCAGATTTGAGCGTTTAACTTTTCAAGTTTGGGTAGAAAAATTTATGCAAAATTAATATTTTACGTCGTTCGAGTTGCATTCAGTGAGAGCGTATGGAGAGACAACGATGAGGCAAAGGTATGTATCCCTGTCTTTCCGAATTTTCATTGTTTTGAAGAGGAAATTGGAGTTGTCAGGACACTCCTGATCGGGAGCCTATGCCCCAAGAGCATAGAAGTCCTAACTTCTAACTTGATATAGGAAGTTTAAATAACAGGCGTCTAACGTAAAAATAATATGCAACTCTACAATGAATTAAATCATGGGTAATGAGTTGCCGATGAGACGCGATCAGGCTTTAATTCCATTATTACCTATCTAAATAACAACTAGTCAAACACTTACACAAAACCGGTCGAGTTAAACCAATCGACTGGATAGTTGTTTATTTCTTACAGTACTTGATGTTTTAACGATGCAGCGTCTGATCATTAGCACACTCGAGGTATATCGATGATTCTGATGAAAAATTCAGTTTCAACACCTTCATGTAACCTAATTCTTTCGAAGTTATGTGAGGTGACAACAGTGTAGCACACGTCAGTCTTACAGCGAAGGAGCTAAATCCTGCCTCAATTATTTTAAGTGAAGTTCAGGGAGTGTTGGGTTTAAGTCTAGTTGGTTGATTGAGCCATAATGACAGGCAAGTCCAACCACCACGTCAACGTATTAGCTATGTTCATACATCAATAGTGGAGAGAAAACTGATGAGTGTTCGAACATTTATTTCCACTGACTGTAAATTCTGTGAACTACTCAGTGATGAGCCATACGAGAATTAAAAAAATTACGGTTCCAGTGGACATGACCAAAGATCCGGAACCTTACCGAAACAGCGAGAAGTGAAAGCAAATAAATCGGTTTTTCAAGTCCAGAAGGAGATATTAGATCTTAACTTCTTATGAATATGTCCACTCTGCTTTTATTATTATATTGTTTTTTTTGCAATAATCACCTTACTTTCTAATAAAATGTCATGAATTCTGAATTTATCTGAGCATTATTTTATAGGAGCGAATGGCATCATATCAAATTGTTCGGGGCCGCGATAGAAGAAATGACTTGTTTGCTAGTTTTATGTTGATTCGATTCCTATCGGATTATATCGAAACTAAATTTTTAAACAGGATGTAATTGGTGTTGAGTATTTTACAGTTTTAGTGATAACTGATTTATACTGGCCAATTCTACACTGTGGGTATTAGATTACAGTATTAAAATTATTTGATATTTTATTTCGTGAGTTTCATATGACAGTATGACCATAGAATTACATGTATTAATTTCTTCTAAAGTGACGATAAAACTGTTATAACACTAGTAAATCCCCATGATTGATTCTTAGACATTTTTACATAATTAAGAAACTTATCAGGAAACGCTACTTGATTTGTTGGCGATTACACTCAAGGCACAAATGGAATTATAAAACAGAACCTTAATTTTAAACTATACATTGTATACATTAATTACTATTATTATATTACAGTTTACAAGTAAGGTAACATTTAATTCCATAAGAATGTTAGGTTATTTGAATAACTTTCATTTGCTTCAACACTACAATTTTGTTTCCATTTCCGGAGCAAACGTACAATGATGAAGATTGAATAGCTGCCAAGAATTAGTTGCTACCTCGAATATCATCATTGAAATATACACAAACAAGTAGGTAACCACACATATACATAAATATATACTATAAACCAATTTGTATATTCGAGTGCTGTCTTAATAAACACCTATATGAGTCATCTTGTGTCTGGTTTGTACATTATCGCTTTGACACAAGGTTTCTTAATGAATTTCTGTATCATGCGTATTGATGGATTTTAAAGATACTAGTAGATACACGTAATTCACGCACATGTTATCGATTCATTATAGCACCAGATATGCAAGCAAATCATCTTGCTAAATTTTTGGCTAAAGTTGTGCCAAAATGATATAATGTTACCTATTAAAAACCGATGACGTTTGAAGAGGATCAGCACTACTAAGACTAGGACCAAATGAACCATAGAAAACTGAGACATTAGTTTCCTTCTAGTATAGGCGATCTCAGTGGTTCATATTTACACTCACAAACATTATAAAACAATAACACCACAACAAACTAAACTATTCGATTGGGATAGTTATTAAAGAAGAAACCGGAACGAATTTAGTCACCACTACTCTGATGGTGAATAATTATCCTGGAGACTTTATAAAAAGGATAGTTACGACCAAAAAGATAAAGGGAAAGATCCCATATCGTAAAGGAACTTTAGAAGAGATCAGGAGAATCTTAAATCACCACAGTATAAGAGAATTCTTTCGATTCAGACTAGTAAGAATCAAAGATTCAATAAGAAAGGATGAATAACAAAGTTGTTTACTGATTGCAATACTATATATATATATATATATATATATATATATATATATATATATATATATATATATATATATATATATACAGGTGAGACACTATGGCAGGTCAATGTCAGGGTGAATTCAAACTTTATTTGAAGTGCATTCCTATATCCACAGAAGACCTGGAGAAATAATTAAAAAGCAAGTCAACTATAGCATTACACTCAATAGTTTGGCCATACATTTGATTTCAGTGGCAAATTAATCTTCCAAAAAGGTTTTACTTCTTACAAAGAAAGACTAATTGCTGAAGCCCTACACATATGAGCAAATCCAAAGAATATTAATAGGAGAGATGGGGTACAATTGGCTGTCTATCGAGGAGACCTAGAAAACTCCCCCAAAAAAGCCCAAAGGACCTAAAAACTCTGAGTGATGTTTTATCCAACCAGCACTGAACAGAAGTTTCTCAGAAAGTGTAGTCGTGTCACAGTCTTGACTGGATGATTACCTATCTTGCTACTATGTTTAGTAGGGCTCTAAAACATTCCCGAAGCCCAAGGTCATCTGAAATGCTGTAAATACCCAAAACTCGCTGTACATAAACAAACTTTGGAGTAAAGCATCCTTCCCACATTTCGCACCTTTTCTCTCGTGTTCAAGTTATCGTGTACAGTTAGCCTGAGTTATTAGGAGAGCTTGAGAAAAGGATTCAGACGTCCAAACAGAAGATTTATCACTATCTCGTAGCAACTAATCATTATTAAGTAAATATGAACTACGTATTACATTCTATTCCAACGTCTATTATATGAGCGAATGTTTGGTGCTCTAACCGGCTTGGTAGACACGGAGACTCCACCTAGAGGAGTTGGAAAACCCTGATCCCAAACCAATGGTGCACATGGGCTTCAGGATCCTGGAGGAACAAATGGCGTATGAACCAACCGTTGATCACCGGCTACTATGAGACTGCATCTCCTGACATCGCCCCACTGCCTTGTGGATCAGACCTTTATGTCGAAGGCTACGGGTGTGGCTCCCTAAGAAAACCACCTGCATCGGTTTTGGCACCCGGGCAATATCCCGGCCCTCACACAAGTCGAACGATTAATGTCGTGCATATCTATTTGGTGCTTCCTTGCACTAATGTGTATGCGTTTAAATGAATAAATGAGGACTTCCTTGCAAATGGCTGTATACGCGTGGCCATGTGAGAGCATTTCGAAAGGGAGAGCAGACTCTCCCCACTCTTGGCCGTACCAGCGTGTTTGAGGGCTTTCGAAAAAGTGGAAAATTCTTAGGAACTAACCCAAATATTTGACAGGATTCAGTTGTATTTTCCTGGCAAATTGTATTTTCCACTGTTCAACAACGTGATATTTTATGCTCTTATGTATAAATTTATTTTCTCTATTCTCATGTCATCTTTGGTGTTAACTCATTGTTAATGTATCCAAGTTTACGGTTGATATTACGTGATTCTGATATCAAATTTTACTTCGTAAAAACCTGTTACTGTGTTTTAAAATATTTTCTCCTTGAATTTTTAGATATCAATGTCCATGAACTTTAACATTATATAATTCTTCCATACATAGTGCCATTATTCTATGGATCTTCGTTAGTATGGTGTGAAGTAGGTGCATTGGTTTTAAATAGTTGTAACTATTATTTCCATGGTTTAAGCAGACAAAAAGATCATTGATAAATGAATTCCTGTTATTTTTTTTCACGTTCGTTGTTCATGCTTTAGTCAAATTCGACAATGGGAAAAAATAAATTATACAAAACTAATAGATAAACTGACTCAAAAAAGTGAAAATTCTAACCATTTAACCTTCATTTATTCGATGTTAAACTACAATATTAAACAATTCGCATAAAAGAGACAAAATTCTCATTTTCGGCACACGTATCACAAGTGTAATTTTGAAAACTTTATTACGAAAAAAATATATTCAGCTGAAATATGAAGTAAAAATATAGATGAATAACGTTGCAATAAACATACCTATGATAAGAGTGCAATACAGTTACCATGATAACATTGAAAGGGAAAATAAGGAAAAAAAATGAAGTAACTAGGAATAAATTTATTCATTGATTATTATATCTTTCTTTAACACCTTTCTCACTTTAACCTCCTCAGGTGATTTTGTACATAATAATTGGACAATATTAGCATCACTACCAGGAACAATACTAGTATTGCTACTGCTCGTGGCGAAATTAATAGTGGATACATCACTAATTGACTTTAATTTCGATTTGCTTCTCTTATTTGATGGTGCTAGAACATCAGATGCATGCTTAAGTGAATACAATGGACGAAATGACTCGAAGAAACCACAGTCTTCAAAATAATTAGGAAATATCCAAAAACTGTATTGACCTAAAGTAGATAACCAGACAAGCAAATAAAAACAGAAACGCAATAATCCTACGAAAAGTAAAAGACCTAAAAGTCCTGAAGCAGTTATAGTCAAATAATATGCACCTTGGCGTAATTCTGATGGCCAGATAGGAAATAAACAACATAGTATAATCCCAATAATTAAAGATGCACCAGCCAACCATGTAAATAGTCCCGGTGGTGGTTCATAGATCCAAACATAAAATGTGTGTGGATCATCAAGTACAAATTTTTGCTCGTCCACAATTTCTAGTCGCATGGGTTTCTTATTGGGAGATTTCATTGTGAATTCGTTAATACTGGAAGAGATGGATGAGAAAATGCCAAATTTGGGCGATTTAGAATCATGATCTTGAGAACTCAACTATTATTGAAAGGGAAACAAAAGAAATACTTTATTTGACAATTGCATATAAAATTTCCAATAGTAATTTTATCACTTGATATTATCCAACATCCTGAAAACACAAATTTTCAATACATTATATACTAGATAAATGAACTGAGATTGTGTGCCTGCATTTAGTAGTGTATTGTACATGTCAATGTACACTTGGTAACTGTTTAGCTTAACTCGCTGTGCCAATTGGGGTTAAGTGTAAAATGGAAATACCAGGATGACAAGATCAAAGCACAACATTCATTTACGGAAAGTTTGGTGACTGGGTTGTTGTAACCTTCCATAGAATTTTACAGTTTATAAATCTAAATAAAGTGGTTGCAATTTACATAAATTATTTCCCTTTAGGAAGCGCCTATCATACACATGAAAAAACTTAAGATCAATAAGTTTATATCATTTCGGTACTTTTATTATCTTTGTCTCACTCACTTACCTGAGATTCATAAAGTAAACACAGTTGAGTTGACACTTAATACGAATTATTTTGAAATTTGCCGGAATGGCGTAGATGCATTTCTTGATTAGCTGTAAATGGGCATAATTTCACTTGACATACTTTTATTTTCCGTACAAACTATCTCTCTTCATCTTCATTGATGATGTTATCACTATTTTCATTGATTCTACCTTCAGATACAATTTGTGGAAAATGTGGCAATTTGAACAATTATACTACAATCTCGAATGCCATACTGTGACATCTAGAATGAAGTCAGTATTGTTCACTTTTGTTAGGTCCCGATAAACATAATGAATGGTAACTTTGGAATCCTTTTATGGACCAATACTAAACGTATATTTTTTATCGTACAATTGTTAAATAACTTAACTGTTTATATTCCTCTTATTATAAACTTTATTTTGACCTATGAACCATTATTATACGTTTTACCATTTTTCAATTATGCCTTGTCACTGCCTCCCACATTTAGCCAAATTTTGTACAAATTTTATTTTCTATTTTATGCTACGTTGTGGTCTGTTTGATTGGTAATATAAACTCAGTATGTTTGATATATAAGGATTCATATTGCAGAGGCTGAGACTGGTGTTCTGGACTTAACTGGCTGGGCTAGGCGGAAAGTAGAACCATTCAGGGCTCTAGGTTGTTCGCACGTGTTTTACGCGTTCTTGGTCCGATCGATAATTCAATGCTTCTGATTGGCGGCTTTGGGCCATAACAATTTTCCAACGATATAAGTAGCAACAGGTATTTGAACAATTGAGAAATTGTATGCCTGGTTAATGCATTCCTACACGCAATCACAAATAACTTATAAGATATGGCCACGAAAGCTTAAAACACGCCAGCATAGCTGATATCGGATGTATTTGATGAAAGGAAGTGTAAAGTTTGTGTACGTGATGGTGCTGTGCTGACTTATTTCAATAACAGACAGTTGGATATAAAGCGTGGGGCTCATCTGAGATATGTGCCGGTTCGCATCACTAAAGTTCATATAAGTACCGAGAGAAATCGACAAGAGGAAAGGTGATGGAAACACTAGTTAGTGCATAAAACAATGATTGGAAATGAGGATTTTAGAATAACATGAACCTTAAAACGGAAAAAACACATGATGAATGGATGTATTCCCACCACTGTAACCGGCTATGAACTATATATAGAGATTTTAAGTAAATTTAAGTACCTACATTTTCATCTGAAGTCGCGTCGACAACATTTTTACTGGTGACAAGCTTTCCATCAGTAAGCTTTTTCAGTTTAGGCTTCAATGATTTCGCATCTTCTCGGTGTTTAGTGGACTTTTTCTTGACACGAACTGCACTAAAATAAAGATTATGAGCACTTCACGTGTTTAGATACCGCTGAAACATTTGCTTCTGAAACAAAGTTGTCATGAAATTAACTGCAGTAGTTTGACTTGTAAAAAGAGTTGGTTTGGCATCGTCATTTGGTCTAGCCCAATGGGAATTCATCAGTAATTCGATGGCTTCCATTGCTACGAATGTGCGAACAATCATTCCTGAGAGACGCCCTTCTTTAGATGGTAGCTTTTTATGTAAGTAATTCGCAACATCGATTTCTTCTACTGTAGGCTTCAGTGGGTTTTCATTGAGTTTATCACCAGCTAACCGCTGCTTCCGTTTCTTTTCAGACATATTCAAAATCTAATCTGCAAGTACAGAAAGAGCTCTGTTTATTAGTCTTGGATACCGTACAATGATAATGCGAACCATTTTTATTGAATAAAAACCAATTAACACCTTCATTGACGCAAACACGTCCTTACAAATACCAAATACAAAATAGATTTTGTTCTTATTTGATACAAGTACTAAGTGTCCTGTGTACCTTGAAATGAACAAATAAAACGGAACACTGATCTAGATTAAGTCGCAGCATTCTCACCGGCGTATAATCAAAATATCATCATAGATGCGACTCAGCGACAAACTAACAATTCATAAACACGACTCCGAGTCATACTCAATGTAAGTAAAAGGTATGAATTTGCTTAAATTGATGTAACATAGGTTCCAAGCATACAAATATCGGCTGAAAGTTCGGATTAAGTCGTCCGACCAGGTAAGTCAGTCATCATTTACTTAGGACTTCGTACGTGTCCATCAGTTCAAGTCGTCACATTTCACATCAGTCAGTCGCAACGTGGAACCTCGTACATATGTCCATCGGTTCAAGTTGCAATAACTCATTAGCACAGCGATGAAATTGTCAGGCCAAACTCCTGTTATATTTGAAGTGGCTAAGAGATCACCTAAAAGCGGTGAACGGAACGAAGGATCAAAGACACAATGACAAGATAAGCTAAACTATTCCGATTCGTAGACTCAGGATGTTTGCATTCGCTAAGCTCTCCGACCTAGTCTCCTTTATACTATTTAAACATCATAGATCTATCTATATACTTATTATTATCTTTAAATTTAAATTGTACGTTGTAAGTGCAGTACAAAAAGGTACACGTGCTTCTAAACAATTTTCTCTGAAAGATGCTCAATGTCCGTTGATCGGAAACAATCAGTAACAGCCAACTGTGGAAGAAAAAAACCAGCTTCCAGTTGAAGAGGAAATTAGGAAAAGACTCTTGAAGCGGATAGGAAATAAATTGCGGGAATAATCAAACTGTAACAAGTGGTAACTTTGAATCCTGAATCGAAACGTAAAGGATTAAGGCAAAAGAACACTGTGTCGAGAATTGGAAACAGACATGAAAAGGATGAATAGCAACTGCAAAGGATTGTTCAGGACAGAGTTCGGTGGAGAATTCTGGTGGACGGCCAAAGCTGCCCCACAAAGAGTAACGGGAGTAAGCAATCAAGTGCAGCATATGAGAAGCTTCTATAGGTAATGTTTGATATGCCAACATCAACGTTGTTAAGGCCAATAAACCACATAAGAAGTGAATAGTTTCTAACCCAGACGATGATTACTCAGTGGTCCGAAATTTCACGAGCAATTGTTCGAAGAAATCTATGGTCGAATACTAGCTACCTATGAATATCCTCTATTCTTAATGTGCTTCTTTCACACGGAGCGAATTGCTACTACGTAAACACGTCCTTTGGTTTGCAAACGGATATCTCGCCCACGCCACAAGTGATGCAAGTAGACAAAAACTAATCAAGACTTCTAAGTTCGTGCCGAGATTTCATCAGACAGTAGATCATTGAGACTGTTGAGACTCTCAAGATAAGTGAAGCAGTCGATGCGTCCAACTACTTCAATCCCTATCAATAATTCAGGTGCTGACTCAAACCAATTCTTAAGCAACAATTCGCATTTGGGGGAAGGTAACCGCATCCCAAACATGGTTGCATTGTTGCTTAAGCTGGTCGGAAGACTGTATTCTGTCATCGTTTTCACCGAACAGAATTATATCGTCTGCGTATTCCAAGTCAACAAGTGAATCTTCTGGTAGAAGATCAACCCTTGTAAAGTAAGACTGCGAAAGTGTTATCACTAAGAGCATGTCTATGAAAAAGTTAAATAAAAATGGGAAAAGCAAACAAACTTGAAGGACACCACTTGGAGTAACTAATTCCTCCTCCACAAGGTAAAGGAATACAACGATAGTCGGACGTCGAGAAGTACGTCTATTTTCCAAAACGTGCAAAAAGGTGAATCATTGATCTATACATCCACCTTCAGATCTGGAACCAGCCCAGATTATTGGTGGCTTTAGCGACCAGGAATAGTGACCACAAAGCTCAAGGGACAACTGCTTGCGGCCGGTCTCGAACGGCGTTTTTATGGGAAGCGTTTGATCTTCCTTGTGAGGAGGAAACATCTCTGAAGATGTAATGTGTTCAAAGGAAACATCTCTCTGCTGTCACATCCTTCCACAGTCAGCAGTACGACTTTGCCCTCGAGTTTTCAGTTACTGCTCCTAATCCTACCACTCTACAACCGACCTGGCTGGTATGATGGAATTTAAAGGAATACGTATTCCAGCCGATATAGCTTGGCTGAGTGATCACAATCGGCAAGCTAGGCCACGATGACAAGGTAGCAGCTACGGTCGGGACATTTCCCGTCAACAAGAGGAAAGAGGACAAAAGGAAGAAGTGTAAGATAGAATCTATGGAGACCTAAACATGAAATATGCTGTTCCAATGAAGGCTATTAATGGTATCTATCCTAAAATTTAGAGAGCAACTCACAAATAATGATCTATCACGACTGATTTGTGCCAAGTCATCTGTCTTCAACCCCTGATTATCAGTGTTGTATGAACTCCAATCAGGAGGTCGATACCTGTTGATTTGGATTCCACCAACAGCCGATGACATCATTAACTGATGTTACTTCTTGAATCGGATACTCCAAGCTTCTTCCAGCCTACTTTCGTGTCAAACGTCAGAATAGCTAATGGCTAAGCAAGCGTAACACGCGCTAACCAACAAAAAGAATCTGTACTCGGCTGGAGTGTTTTAAGAGCTGAAAAAGAGCTGGCAGAAGCGAGTTTTAACTGAAACACTAGTGGATAGAGGTCGTTGTATATCATACTCATAATAACCGTGGCTCCGACCCCACCAGTAGCCTTTCTATGGTCACTGCTCCACCTAAGCGCAGATGAGAGAGAAGGGTTACCATTTTCACGTCTAGAAAAGACCTCACCGGAAAAGATCGTTTAAACCATTTAAACTCTGCATTTATAGTTAAAGGGTCTTCATATAGAGGATGGTGATTCATGGTGGAGGCCGAGATTCTTCGAAAATCACGAGGTCGATAGTCCTTATGAAAACCAGAGCAACAAATAATATAGACACGTGGAATATCCGGACGATGTGGTGGACTGGGACAACCATTTAAATAGTGGCGGAAATGGAAAGATACAACTTGACCGTGTTTGAAATAATTGAAACCCATCAGACACAATCTGAACAAAAAGAACGGCGCCAAGGAAGATGTTGTTGTATTCTGGTCATGAAGAAGAAAATGCTCTAAATGCTCAAGTTGTACTGGTGCTGTTAAAAGAAGGACGAGAAGCGCTTACGGGATGGAAAACCTACGGTTCCAGGATCATCGAGGCATCCTTGAAACAGAGAAGCAAAGAGTTGCAGTGAATTCTATTCGGTGCTATTCGCTCACAAATGATGGCAGAGAAGGTGATAAAGACCAGTTTGTTGCGAGGCTGTAGTTCACCCCAAATTGATGCCCAGGAACACACCTAACCATCCTTATGGGGGACCTGAAAGCTACGGTCGGGACCTGCAACACGATTGAGAACAAACCTAATGGCCACATGGAGTAGAAGAATGGAACGAGAATGGCGAGGGACTGGTAGATCTGTATGCTTCCAACAACGTGATCAGAGGCGGTAGTAATTTTCCCCACAAACGGATCCGTAAACCTACACGGGTCCCACCAGAGCACACTGCGGGAAACTAGATTAGGCACATATACATGCATAAGACATTCGGGAGATTAACTGGAAACGTAAGAACAAAGAGAGGAGCTGACATGGCTTCAGATCACCGCCTAGTGGTGACCAAGCAAGCTGAAGCTAAAAAAGCATTGGACAAGCGACACCACAAAAGTCCGATACAGCCTTCCTTGAAGATACTAACAAGCTCATTGAGTTCAAGGTAAATCTCAGAAAAATGTTCTAAGCCTTACACGATCTATTAGAAAAGAAAACCATTATGGGGAACAATTGGAAATGGATTAAAGAAGCAATAACTTCGACATACCGAGAGATGCTGGGTCTCAAGAAGCACCAGGATAAGGAAAGGGTCTTAGTAAACAGCCTGACCAGGATTCAAGAAAGGAGAAACAAGAAGACAGCAGCCAACAACAGCAGAGAAGGCCAAGACAGGCCAAATATACAGTAGCAAACAAACGACTGAAGAAGAGTACTCGAGCTGACAAGCGGAAATGTACAAAGGACCTGACAACTACAGCAAAATAAGCTTCAAGATAAAAAACGTACGGGAGAACTGTGACACAACCAAAACGCTTGCAGGGAAATATAGTAGACCAAAGCGACTAGTCGATAACAAGGAAGAAGAACCGGTCAATGTTTGTCAAGATTACCAAAACATCGAAGCAGGACTCTTTGGAGAGCTCTTGAATAGACCAATGCCACCGAATTCTCCGGAGATCGAAACAGCGCACACAGACCCTCCATCAGGTATTCTATCACCAACAAAATAATAAGCTTATCGATTTTAAATTTAAGTTATAGACTACTGAATACATACTAAGTGGTCTGAACGTAACGCAGTTTTGTTGATGTGTGATGGTTCAGGATAACTTACCTAAAGAATTTATAACTCTTCCATTGTTAACTACTCATTTAATAAGACGAATCAAATTTCAAGAGTTGTTTCATTTTTAATTTTGCTTGAAGAGAAGTCTCACCATGTTGCAAAATATCGTGGTAATTTTTTAATTTTTAATATATACCAGATGGCGAACAGAATTTCATTAGTGATATTTTTAATTTGAACTAATTGAAACTTCATAGTTTCTATGCGTATCCAATCGTCGAGCCGTCATCACAAAATATATCTAAAAGGTACATTTACCGAAATTCTAACAGGACGCGACTACTTATAAAATTGATCATATAGGTAGCATATCGGTTGACCATCAATAACATTGAGTGAATGTTACCCTATATCGTAAATTAACTGATGTTAAAAAATC